ATTAATACTTTTATTCAAATGACAAATAGAAAATACACTGACAAACATCTACGTTACACAGAAACAGTGCTATTCATCATAACAACTTCAATTTATCTGAACAAAACAAACTCACGTTTCACCTTGTGATGGCTCGGCTATGCGGCAATTCATTAGGCTTCGTCTATCACTCGTTCTCATTATCCGATATGAGGTAACTCCAAACAGTCTATGAATTTCAGTAGACAGTATCAAATGTTGACAACTGTTTATTCATTCTACGAAGTAAATCACTCAGCCACAATTGCAGCACACAAAGCCAATTCGAGAAGAAATGCCAGTGCAAACAATTAACAGAGCAACTAACCACACCAATACAAAATTCACTGAAATAATAATTATACGAGCCAAGCTTATATATTAATCCAGTGATTCAAGCATCAAATAAACGAACTGGGAGACTAGTTATGCGTAGGCTGTCATATGCGATCAAGCTTATTCGCTCATCATGATGGGTATGGTAATAAGGACTAGATATACAATTTGTCACTGTTCTACTACCACAAAGACTGTCTGTTAACTAAGTAGTTAGTTCAGTTGATGGGCTTGACAAAATTAACCCTAAACAAACTGATGTATATTACGAGACGTACTTTATGTGCATCTTATTCGCCATGCACACACACGGTCATTGAGTGGCAAGTGTGGTCCAACCGACAAAATTTTACATAAGAGCATTAAGCTTAACTGAGATTCATACAACAGAGTTCTTCACTAGTATTAATCACTCATATTGTATTCCACTTGTATTCTCAATAACAGACATTTACACTTAACACGGTGAACATATTCACAACGAGAAACACCAATTATCTCCATGATAATTAATGTTGAATAAACGACCCTATAATAATGAATAAAATTAAATTGTGATGTATTGTGGTGTCGTGTGGTGTGATGTTATGTGATGTGATGTGTGCTACATATTTCGACATCAGTAGTAGATAACGATAGTCAGGAATGGGATGTCTTGCATCAGAAGGTCGAGAAGATCCAAGAGGAACAAACGAGAACTGAAAGCAGTTGGTATGAAATTGTAGGGACAATGAAATGTGAGACGATGGATTGACATTTGTAGAAGGAACAGTCAAGTTTGAGACAGTTGTTGATTGACAATTCTTCGGTGACACAATTAGGTCAGGTATATATATTAGCACAATTATTATTTTCATTATTACTATCATTATTATTATTATTAGATTTAAAAATCCCAGTGAAGTCAACTTCATGGATTGAAAGCAACATAATAATTGATTGCAATGTACTTTAGCAGGATCCATTACTAACAACAATTACACCTCGTGGAGGAGTATAGGTCACCCACCAGGATTAATTGTAAAACAATAAGCATTAATTTCTTAACTGATCAGCAAACGTTAGAGAAACATTCCGTGTTTTTAATATAACTATTCATTCATCCACTAATCTATTTACATAAAGTAAGCAACTTGGTCGATGTGATGCGTTCTACACGAAGACGGATCTGACATACATGAAAAAAATGGTTCATCACCCAGTGATGAATATATTTCATTCACAAAATGTCAATCAATCATCACAGACTTCATTGTTCCTTCATTCCAACACTGATCTTTCTCCGTTCTTGTTCTCATTCTCTTTTCTTCGATCTTCTTAACCTTCTGCCTCCAGGCATTGCATATCCGATTGGTGATACATACTACTCATATGTCTGTCGATCTCAGTAGTACACATCATAGTGGTTGTAATTCACTTCTTGTAAGTGAATGCAAATAAGTCTGACTAATATTATCTTTTTATTATTGATAAGCATGAATTATTTCGTTGTATGTTTTCTTTACCGGAAAATATTCAACTACCTACTTATCAACCGAAAATAAAAAGACAAAATCAATAAATCCAGTGTAAATACTGTTAGCTTAGAGAAAGGATACCCACTAAATGTATTACTTGTCAAGAATTTCTAATCTGTCTCTCAATGTATACTCAAATATTCTCATAAAACTATTATGTAATGTGTGTTGGTTTCATCTTACATGCAAAACCATGTGTTTTATTGTCAAGTTGATTGTATGAGTTAACTTGGATAAACACATTGTTATCAAAATGAATAAGTCACATTTTATGTATCCAAGTAATAATCTTGTCAAATAAACTTTTATGTAAGATCGATTTTAAACTTGTTTATCATTTCCAAAGCTCTACAATCATATATACATATATGGGTATCATGGTAGCATGTCTACAAATAGATTGTGAATTGATAAGCAAAGATGGATAGTGGCTAGTAGTGGAATCGGAGGGGCCCGTTTCGTTCTGTCAGTAGGTAAATGGATAACACGATGACATTTGAAGCGAATGGTACTGGGTTCGATTCCCAGAGTGAACATCAACTCTGAGATGCAAGTACATCCAGCTGACGAGTCCCGAATAGGATGAAACACTTGTGTCAAAATGGATTCCACTGATAATCACTATTCATCTTCACTTCTAAAGCTTGTGACTTCAGGCGATATTGAGGCAGTTCGCATAGGATGCACAAATGCCAACAACAGACTGATCAGTTGCAGTTCTAAATTACCATGGGAGGATACAAGTAAACAACATCAAATAAACATCGTGTATTTGTTAAATTATATAACCTCAATGATGATTTGAAATTTGACTAACATTAGTTAAATAGTTACTTAATCAGTATGGAAATTTGTAGAGATTGTAGTATTTTCATATCCGAATTCACAAGTCGATTTGATCTAAGCTGCTAGACTACCATTAAAAACATGGAAGCAGTAGACGTGTGTTTCGTCGTAGTATGGGACTCCTGAGCAGTGCATATCCAAACTAACACCGTTGAATGCCAGCTCAATGGTCTAGAGGTTAAGTGTTCGTGTGTGCGATATCATGGGTGCTTAGTGCTGAGGAGTCCCATTGTAGGACGAAACGGACGTCCAATGCTCCAGAGTTTTCAATGGTGGTCCTGCTTACATAAACTCATCAATTCAACTGGGAAAACTTACTAAAACTTTGAATATAATTACTTTGTACAAATTGGTGAAGTCATTGATTTTGTCGAACCAACACCATTTTGTACACGATAAATCAATTCTAAAACAACTTTATTATACATCTTTTATTTCAATTTCATTATTATTGAAGTAAGTTTACACTATACCTATGTAAGATATTTCATTGTCTGAATTAAGGTGATGATCATTTGAACACAAGTGCTTTGCAATACATAAACATTCATGCGTTTTTTACCCTACCGCATTTATTCACATAAACTGGTATATGGTTTTAAATTTACTGATCTTTCATTTTCTTCAGATCGTTGGGTTTGCCTGACAAGATGTTAACCTCTTGTATGAATTATCTCTAAGAGATAAAATGATCATTATTGTATGAGTGAGTAAAGTAGATTCTGATATTTTATCAGTCAATTGTGATTCTAAACTGTTCAAATGAAAAAAAAATAATAATTTTTTCTGACTGTTCCGTCCAAGTTTTAAAAAAGAAAATACACCAACTTCATTTCATTACCGTGCTATACTCTTGTAACAATGTAATTGCGTTATTTTGCTAATCCATTTTTCTTTTTTTAACTGGGACATTCCTTTATAGTTGAACCGTTTAAATTGATAACAAAAAACAATACTTGTATGTTGTGTAAGTAAAATAGTCATGTGAATGAGTTATTGTACTGCTTGTCAAGTAGACTTAACAATACTACATTGAAACTATATGTACAACATGTATACCCTTATGTCATTTGGGCGAGACTCTAATTTAGGGACGAGCCAATCAGAAGCGTTTGAGCCGTTTAAAGGTCACAGAGCCAAGTTTAACACCTGATGCTCACATATAATCGGTTTACAGCGAATTTTAGAGAAGGGGTGATTATTGAGAGGCTACAAGGGATAGGATTACTAAAAAGTTCTTGTACGTGATACTGCGGTTATCAAATGACTGCAGTAAAGTGTGCAAATAACCGTGGTGAGATTATATTTCGTT